AGGCGCAGCGAGACGACGAGCGCGACAAGGGCCTCACGACGCGGACGTAGCCGAGGGAATCCGCCACCGCCGTGTCTGCCCTGCACGGATCCAGAGCCCGAGGGCGGCTGCCCAAGATGGGGAAGGGCGCAGCGGCCGCCGTCGGGAGGGGATCGGGAAGGGCGCTGCCACCATGGTCGCGGGGAGCAGGGCCAGCGGCGCGGCGGGTTTGGTGTCGCATCCGGGGATGCATGGGAGCGAGCGGCTTTGGTGTCGCACCTGTGGCGGGCGCGGGCGGCGGCGGCGCGGACTGCTGCGGGCGGGCATGGGCGCGATGGGGGCGCGGTGGCGGCGCGGCCAGAATCACGGGAGCGGGTCGACGTTTCTTTCCTTAGGGAGACGGGCGTAGGGGGCACGGAGAAAGATCGTACGGGCGGCAGGCAGGACGATGGACGAATGTCGCACCAAAAAGTGTCAACGCTTTGTTCTTTTTAGTTGTAGGAGACTCAACTCTCTTGTGTGTTCGCAAAAAAACAAAGAAGAATAGTAGAACAATTTTTTTATTTGGGGAAAATTGTTTACCTTCTACTAATATCAATCTGCAGTTCCTCAATTTCATGTACCAGCACCAGCCAGATTGCCGGAAATTTATCTGAGGGGGCAACTGATGTGGGGAAACCAAAATTTTGTTCACTGTCTCGACCAAACTTAGATTTTCCACTCCTGTTCGATCTAGTACTGCAAATTTTCTCGGCGTGGGAAAAAGTACAAGCTATCCATGTTTTTTTTCTGCTATGAAATTTTGGGCATTAAAACTGTTTTTTTCTCTCGTGCTGTTCCTATTTGTAACAACAGGTCTTCCTTGTTGTCTACCATCTGCCTACTCATCTGTGAGGGAGCAAGCGCACAGTTGATGTAACTTGAATCTGAGGGCGGCAATGCTGACTGAACTAGCTAGATGCAGATGGCACATAATGCACACACTACCGACCACTGGCCTCTGGTAGCATTGAAAAGTAAGCTGGGTCTACTTCATTTTTCACACATTTTCTTTGTTATTACGAGTGCTTTTTTTAATAAGTTTAATTTTAATAGGGTTAGTAGCAGCATTGTCCTGCTACATTGTGGTATAATTACACAGGAGATAAGCTTCTATCTGAATTTCATGGGATATGGTATTCACATGTTGCTAGTTTCACCTTCCTTTGCCATCTGTTTAATCTGATCGATCCCTTATTTGATCTGACCAGGATGTTGTTCTCAAGCCAACGAAGGCAATATTTGTAGACCTGCTGAGCATCGATGATACCATGTCATCTGTTCCAGCATCAAGGATCCTTGACAAGTTCATGTAGCACTGGGCGCCCTTTCCTCTGGTGCTGCCTTCTTAGTTCTTACTGTGGTGAGGTTAGGGACCATATTGTGTGTAAGGTTCAGCTACACCAACTTGTCTTAGCCGGGGGGTTGTGGCTTTGTGTTCTGAGTAGTAGACTAGAATAATGTGTAGCATATTTTTTGTAAGGTGTGACCTGAATGTACTATTGTGTGTGTCATGCAGTTAAAACCCTGTTCTTACCATGACAAGGGATCTTTGTTCATGCTGGTGTTTACAAAGTGTTCTGAATTGCATCTTAGGTCATGGTGAATCATTTTTGTACTTCAGGTCAAGGTGATTGTTATGTCACACAAATGCTCTTGCATCTTACTCTCTATCAATATTTTGTACTTCAGGTAACAAAAAGTACAAGTGAATTTTATTCCTGATACACAGCTCACGGTCTGCCTGTGATGCTTATGACCTGTGATGATATTACCATACATCTTCATTTGCTGCTCTGGCAATGCTTAAGAATTTGCCACCGTATCTCTTCCTTCAGTCGCGGTTTTTAGTTGCTGAGCAACTCAATCTCGTTGGATCATTATTGGGTTATGGAACGCTTTTTGCCAACATTTGTGGGTGCCCTTTCAGGCAGCGGCGGATCCAGGAAAAATTTTAGGAGGCTGAACAATACATACCTCCGACTGCTGTTCGATTTTAAGTCTCAGCCCCACCTACACTATAGAACTTTCCTTAAAAATTTATGGGGGCTCCAGGAGAATTCCACTGCTCCGGTACGGTAGGGGGGGCTCGAGCACAAGCACAGCACAACAGGCAGGTGAGCAGCCTGGAGCTTGTTGCAGGACGCGTCCGCTGCATGCCACGATCATTGCAAGAAACACAGCATGTAGTAACGAAAGATATACGGTATATACAATAAAGGGCAGCCTGTTCTCCTTGTCTAGTTTTAACTTGTTTTATTTCAGCTTATTCTCTCTCACGTAACACTGTTAAATCAGATGAAATAAAAAAAATAAAAAACCGATCAGCCGAAGGATAGCACGCATCGCGCCGCAAGGTGCTAATCCCTCTAGGAACCAGAGCCAATGTCAGATGTTCGATCACCAGCAGAACTTTCGCCAGCGGATTTCTCCCACGTATCTGTACACTGTTTCCGTTTCTAATAATGAAATAAAATCCGGAAACCTCAATAACAATATGCATGTACAGGGAAACTCAGAATATTGTGCTGCTAAGATATCAAAGTAAAAAAGTATCGAAAGCCATCTCCAATCATGTTCAAGAGAGTGGAAGCTGGGGTCTAGACAAATAAATATATGTAGAAAGAAAGCTACAAATGCAGTGCCGCCTTTTCTGAAGTCATTCCAAAACATTTTTATTGTTCATTTCAGCCACTTCAACGGTACTCTCTCACAAGCATTTGCTACAAAACTCCCGAATTAGATTGGGGGATCTCTTCACTTGCATTTTTAACTGGTAGCTAAGCATCTGTTCGTGTAAGATCAATGTTTCTCTAGACTAGTCAAATCTTCCATTAACGATCCCTCAAATAATTCCACTATGTGAAAAAAAATTGGCAGGTTATTTGGATACAATCTGCAAGGGCTGAGTGACATTCTTGTAGACTTCATAGTCCTGTACACATCTATTCCAAAAACAAAGCAGATGACTTTGGTATAATAGCATCTAAAGTAATAAACATGATCTCAACTCATAAGTTCATGAGTAAAACTTCACAAGCATAGTGTAGAATGCAGAATGCTGCCGGCCCCACTGCTGAACTGCCGTTCCAAAATATAAATAGTTGCATTTGTTGATCCCCATATATCCATAAAAAGCGACGTCCTCAGTAGCAAAGGAAGTCTCTGGTGTCGTTGATCACCAGTTAAATCCTCCATTTCCACAGCAGTAAAATTGATTTTACACAGGTTTTTAAATCCAAAAGATGTTTCAAGTGAAACAGCCAAACAAGTCAATACCAGTCACCAGATCAACCATTGGTCCCTAATTTTCTATAGTGTCGGTACTGTAGAATTCAAATTACTAGCTAGGTTTCCATGTAATTCTTGATGGCCTAACTTCCTTTTGCAAACCAAATAGACAGTGAAGGAAAGGAAATCGATGCCCTCTTTCGCAGCAATATTGGTCATCCAAAGCAAATACAGAGATGTTTCTGGGTTATGGATAACCAGATTGAAATAACACTTAACCAAAATGAAAGGAAGAATTTGGTTAACTGGTGCATTCTCAAATTACACAGTCAAAAGGCAAACGTCAATTATACTGTTGTAAGAGATCATTTTAGAAATATTGTCACTTTTAAGTACTAAGGGAATGCAATACACTCATTTCAACGGTTCATGGTGTTTCTATTTGAAATCCATACAATTTGTATGATATGAGTTGGCATGTGTAGCAGTTTAAGGTCATTCTTGCTAGGTGAGAGATAAAAGGTGGTGTAAAGTGATTTGAAACCTGGTGTGTAAAAGAATGTTTAAACTGGTGCGATGTGGAAATATGGTTCCAACTTCCAATACCTAGTGTTTCGTGCAATTCACTCAACTAAGACCTGTTTCAGAATTGGAAGTAAATGGATTAAATAATATAAAAAAAAACCGGATTTTGTCCAGCTTGGTTTGATGAGGGTAAAGAGCGATTGTACATTGCAGTGCAGACTGAACTAGTATGCTTAATTAGCAAGAGACAGTAGTATGCGTAACATATATACAGGTCGGCAGCATGTAAGCATCAACTGGTATTTTTGACAAGTTTTTACAAACTCCGGTTAGATGACTCAGGTACCATACACTAAAGCCTAGGGATAGTATCACTTCCGTCTATCACATATTCACAAATCAAAATAAGGTATGCAAACTAGCCATCTAGGCATGCCTGCTTGGATGGGGGTATTGGCTAAGATTTACCTTTTTTGTTCAAGCACTAAAATGGCCTCAAGATGTATTTGCATAGAGTTGGCTTTGCAACTTGAGAATAGTATCAGATCAAGACAACAACTAAACCTAGTTAAGTAAAAAAAAACAGAGATCGAATGATACTGCTCGACAAAAGGAGCCAACCACAGCCAATATGAATATATATGGAATAAATTAAAACTAAACCACATGTCCATGAAGGCACAGACACCAGTATAATTGACTCTTTGGTTCTCACTTCCCACTACAAAATCCCAAGGATAACACAAAAACCATATTACTCAATTAAAATAGTCTCACTGATAATAATGCTTGAGAAACAATACATAGAACCATGCTCAATCAGCTCGTAACAAAAATTTGCTTTATCCCCTGGCCAAAAGTACTACAATCACATAGCTTAAGCCAAATCATGATATCCCCAGTTCTGGTGTGAAATCAAATTCAAATCCACCTATAGCTCACGCTTATGATCTAGTAAACCTATAGTATCACTCAGTGGAAGGAGTATACCAATAGTATTACTTCAAAACGAGCACGTATAATACTGTGTTCAATCAACATTTGTCATTATTCCCCTAACAAAAATTGCCTGATCCCCAGCTCAACAATCACATCAGCTTAGAATCAAATTCAATCACGCTGCAGATATCCCCCAGCGCCAGAGTGAAATCAAATCCAAATCTACCTATGCCAGATGCCTCATACTCAAGATCCAGTAAATCTCAAACCAGAACGCGGGCAAAACCTTACGAGATTGCCTTTGCTCCGTCCGCCGCGGCAGCCACAGTGGACCCTTGAGCGGCGGCCGCCTCTGCCTCGGCTTCGAGGCGCTTCTTGTTTCGCTCGAGCGCCTCGCCGACCTCCTTGGGCATGTACTTCTCGTCGTGCTTGGCGAGCACCTCGGTGCCGCGCAAGAAGCACGCGCACTCCCGCGCCTTCTCGGTCACCTTCCTCCCGCCGTCGCCGCGGAGGTCGTCGGTGAAGGGCTTGAGGAGGCCCTCGACGACGACGGAGTGGCCCTCGCGGAAGAGGTCGGGCAGCGCGCCCTCGTACCGGACGAGCACGTCGGTGATGAGGTCCGTGACGACGAACTCGATCTCGGGGGAGGACGGTGAGGGGTGCGCGACGGAGCCCTCGAGGACGAGGCCGCCGAGGCGGACGCGGGACTTGGAGGGGTCGGCGGTGAACTTGGCGAGCGCGTCGGTGGGCGTGACGTAGAAGACGAGCTGGTCCTGGAACGTGGCGAGCACGGTGACCACGAACCCGGCCGTGCAGGCGAAGGCGAGCCCGTAGGACCAGAGGCGGCGCGTCTGCAGCTGCCGCGCGCGGGCGCCGATGTCCGCGGCGCGGGGGCGGGAGGAGGGCCCCGACCGCCGCGTGGCGGAGGCGAAGCTGCGGAGGAAGGGGCCGAGCGGGGTGGCGGTGGGGGTGGCGGCGGCGGCGGTCGCGCGCGGGGTGGGGATGGGTCCCGGTGTGTGGAGGAGGGTGGAGAGGAGGCGGCTGCGGAAGGGGAGGAGCCGCGAGAAGGCCATGGGATCGGGTCCCCGGTCGGGGTCTGGTGGGATCTGGAGGCTACGGACTGCGGTGCGGAAGGGCCGGAAGGGGAAAGGCGTGGTCGGCGGCGGTCGGCTGCCGTTCGGCTTGTTGCGCACGGCACGGCGCACGCCGACGTGGGCCGCGCCGGGCTGGGGACTTGGGTCTCGGTCTCGCAACCGTGTGGTCAGCGGCTCGAGCGAGCTCATTTGACACTGCAAAGAAAAATGCTCATTTTCGACATTTTTGAACAACTTTAAGCAACTTTTTTCAAAAAAGTTTTCGCCATTCCGGCGAACGACTTTAAGCTACTTTGGCAATTTTGAGCAATCTGGGAGAGACTCGAGTTCCTGTTCTTGGGACCTTCATTATTGTAACATTTCTTTGGTGTAGTTGAATTTCTCAAGCGATGAGAGGTAACATTTCTTTGGTGTAATTGAATTTCTCAAGCGACGAGAGGATGACAGTAAATTCTGTGACTGGGGAAAGATGCTCAGGTGCTTGGTTCAGAAATGATACTGACGTAAACGGTATGAAATAAAAGGGGTGATGGTCACACAAATCAATTTCCCATTTTGTTTAATTTAATTCTAGGGGAAATGAGCTCCGTAATGGCAAGGCACCTTGCCGTCACCCTCCTCCTCGCTCTCCTTCCCTCACCGCCGCGGCCATGCTGGATCGTTTCTTTGCGGCCGTGGCCACGCCAGATCACATCAGGTACGCATCCTCTCAGCCGAGCTGTGGTAACGATTAACGCAAGATTTGCCGTGGCCTAGGATCGGGACCTGATTAAGCTTAAGTGAACCGAACAAAATTTAATGTAGTCAGATTACGCTATGAACAGTTAACACCTCAAATTCCCGAACCAAACTCCAAACTCTACTTCAGGGCCTGTTTAGTTCCACCCAAAAGCCAAAAATTTTTGCGCAGTATCCATCACATCGAATCTTGCGGCACATGCATGGAGTACTAAATGTAGACAAAAAAAAACTAATTACACAGTTGGGTGAGAAATCGCGAGACAAAACTTTCAAACCTAATTAGTCCATAATTAGACACTAATTACCAAATACAAACGAAAATGCTACAGTACCCAAAACCAAAAACTTTTGCCAACGGCCCTCAGTTTGATGCAATGCACAGAGCTACATGGCACATACAGAATCAAAAAACAGTATTGAAAGTGCATTTGTCCCCTATGTGGGTTTTGGTGTATTGATGATATCTAAATTAGGGACTAATGTGATCTTAATGAGATATGTTGCAGCTATTAGTCCCATGAAAGATTCAAAGAGTTGATAAAGATGAAATGGTATCCCTCAATTCTTGAAGTTGTAAAGGCGGACGAACTCAAAACTATCTCCAAAGGGTTTAATTTTGTTTTTGAGTTTAGAATCCGCCGCACTATAAAGAGGGATGCAAGTTTAGTTGGTCTGAGGAAAATAGAGTGCTCAAGCATTTAAATAAAATCAAAAAAGAGTCACTCTAGCACTTCACGCGCACTTAGAATAATTTTCTGTGTCTTTCAGTGTCGGAAGTCCCGATGTAAGTTGGAACTTCCGACAGTCGGAAGTCCCGACCTAAGCCAGTAGTCCCAGCACCTGTGCTTCTAACTGCTCGCTGTCTGTGCTCGTCGAAAGTCCCGACGTTCGTCGGGAGTTCCGACACTGACCTGACCCAAGCCGGGAGTCCCGGCTTCAGCGGTGCTGGCTGTTTGTTTAACTGGGCACGTCGGAAGTCCCGACGACCGTCGGGAGTTCCGACCGTCGGAAGTCCAAACGTTTGCCGGGAGTTCCAACACTGACTTTCACCCGTAGACTTTTGACCCATTGTAAACAGTATTTTATGTTGATGTCGGAAGTCCCGGGATCTGCGTCGGATCTTCCGACGTAGATCTGAACGGTTGGATTTTCACTTGGAGTATAAATACTCCTCTCTTCACTTCTAACAGCAGCGACTCATTTCACAGCGGACTAGCTTCGAACTCAACAGCTTCCAAGCAACCAAAGCACCCCTCTCGTTCCCCCTTTGCTCGAATCTTCGATTCCCTTAGGGTTTGAGTGAAAGGAGAGTGGATTTAGTAAGAGCATCACGTTGGAAAGCTTGAGCACTTGATTTCTTCGTCAAGCCGGGTGATTTTGCGTCTATTACTCTTGGGGCTTTGCCCCTAGCCGGCTAAGCGTTGCCCTAGAGCTTCCATCTTGTGGAAGATCCTTGGGAAGTTTGTATTACCCTTCGATTTCTTAGTGGAAAGCTCAAGTGACCTTTGTGGTCGCTTTGAGAGAGGCAAGGAGGTGGAAAAGACTCCGACCTTGGTGGTCACCTCAACAACGAGGACGTAGGAGCTCCTTAGTGGGGTTGCCGAACCTCGGGATAAATCCTTGTGTCCCATGTGCTTGTTGTTGTGATTGCTAGAGATTATTTGTATATGTTTGTCTCTTTCCCTCCCAAACTTGCATTTTAGGGTTTGGACTCGATCTACGGTTTGGAGGCATTACGGCGTCAAGGAGTGACCTAACATCTTCACCAAACCACTAGGAAGTGAGGTTGTAAGTTTATTTATCCTCAAAGTTAAATTTGGCACTGCTTTTGTAGTTTACGTAGGCGTCGGAACTGTGGACGTTTGCGCCGGAACTTCTGACAACGTAGGAAGTTCCGACCCAAACATCGGGACTTCCGACTGTGACTGACAGAATTGAACTTAGCATTTACAGTAAATTTGTAGATACGTGTATTCACCCCCCTCTAGGCATTGTTAGATCCTTTCAATTGGTATCAGAGATAGGTCTTCTCTTTGCGTTTCACCACGTGAGAAGAAACAATGTCGAAGTCCGAAAAGATGCAAGCCGTTGCCACCGAGATGGCCAAGAAAATAGCTGAAGAGTTAATGAGTGCTCAAGCCAAGCTCTTTCAAGATGAAATGAAAAAGATGCAAGACGAGATGAGCAAGTTGAAGGAAGAATTGAGCAAGAAGGTTGATGATGCAATAAGTGGCAAGAATGATACTAGTGACAAGAATGAAGCAAACAAAGATGCCGCTAGTGATATTGGAGCCGGTGAGCATGCTCATGGAAAAGGAATATATTCACACATGAGTTTTGACTATGGATAAATCATGAAAAGTTCAACACTACATACTCCATCCGTCAATATTGGCAAGCCACCTCACTTTGATAGAACAAGATACACCGATTGGTCTTACAAGATGAAGATGCATCTCATAGCCGCAAGACTTTGTGAAGCTGTGGATGTTGGTGTGATGATTCCTACCGATGAAGATAGAGAGATAACTCCAGAAGAAGTGCATAACCTCCATCAAAATGCACAAGCCGTAGCATTGCTTGTGTCAAGTCTAGCTCCGGATGAGTTTAGAAAAGTGAATGGAATGGAAAGTGCAAAGCAAATTTGGGATACTTTGAAAGTATCATTTGAAGGAGATAAGAGTGTGAGGAAAGGCAACATTGAGTTACTTCATGGTGAATTAGAAAGATTTGTATTCTTGCAAAATGAAACAACACAATCCATGTTTGATAGGCTCATGGCATTGGTAAACCGCATAAGAGCCCTTGGAAGTATCGAATGGGATGACAACAAGGTTGCTAGAAAGATGTTGAGAACCTATAGAGCCAAGAATAACATGCTAGCGTCCGTGATCATGGAAAGGCCCGGTTATGATGAGATGACACCTCAAGAAGTTCTTTCAAAGCTCAAACATCATGAGTGTCTAGATAAAGATGCAATCAATGCTCACAATCAAAATCCTAATGCAATGGGATTCAACAAGAGTGCAGCCCTTAAAGCAACTCAACAACATGAAGGTCAAAGTTCAAGTCAAGAAAATAAGAAGAAAGTGAAGGATGATTCCTCAAGTGGAGAAGAAGATTCCGATGCGGAGGTTGCCTTTGTGATTAGAAATCTTAGAAAGTTTATGAAGAAGAAAAGCAACCGCAAGACCTATGGTGATGGTAAGAGAAGGTTCAAAAAGAGGTTTTGCTATGGATGTGGTCAAATCGGTCACTTCATAGCCGATTGTCCTAATAAGAAAAAGAAGCACAAGTATGACAAGGATGAAGACAAGAAGAACAAAGGCAAGAAGAGAGGTGAAGCTCATCTTGGGAAAGAATGGGAGTCAAGTGATAGTAACTCAAGTGATGATGAGAAAAAGAAGAAGGGAGCCGCAAACATCGCCATCCACCACTCTTCTTCACCGACCATGATCTTCCCCGACTCAACTTCACCGCCAAGACTCTTCTCCAACATATCTTCATCACCGAGGCTCTTCTCCAACCTCACCGACAACGACTACTACACCCCAACTTGTCTCGTGGCAAAAGGGAAAAAGGTACATACTACACTCGTTTCATCTAGTGATGAGGATGATAGTTGCGATGACAACATAGAAGAAATTGAAGCAACCATGATTAAGAAATTTGGTAAAAAGCCCTTCACTAAAATAAAAATGCTAATGAAGAAATTAGAGAAGAGGGATAGATGCTTAGAGTTGCAAGGAGATATAATTACCCAAGAGAAAGAGAAAAACCTTGCACTTGAAACATCTATCGCCGAGGAAAAGATGAAGGTTGAGAAGTTAACCGTTGAATTGTCTTTAGCCAATGACTCAATTAGGAAATTGACTAAGGAACATTCCTCGGTTAATGATCAAATGGCTAGCCTTAAAAATGAAAAGAGTATAGCTCAAGAAAGCCTCACATGCTTGGAAGAAAAATATCAAAATCTTGAGCTAAACTATAGTATCCTTTGGGCTAGCACTTCAACTTCTCCTAAGGCAACCGAAGACTCTAATGTCTCCACTAGTGATGGTTGTAAAAGATGCTATAAAATTGATGTGAATGCATATACAACTAACCTCGTTGAGTTAGAGAAGAAAGACAAGGAAATTCGTAGGTTGAAGATAATATTGAAGAATGGGTGCAAGTGTCAAGAGCAATCAAACAAGACTATATACAAGTCATCGAGGCACCCATCAATCAAGGAAGGC